CTACTTTACGTGAGTGTTTGCCTACATGAGAGTTATACGCTCTGATTGAATTGATTCAAGAAAACAAAAAGGGTTAATGTCAGAACGAAAAATCTAAATAATAAAAAATAACCGTCGTGGTAAATCAGTTAAGATGACAGAGTTTTAAAAAACGTGACGTAGTAGTTTATTTCATACGGCGGTATGAAACTACCATCGTTATATAACATTCTAACATCCGTAACAGGGAAAAATGTCGTATAACCAAAAGTTGTAACACAAACGACGTGGTATTTCAATTAAGACGACAGTTTAGAGAAATTATTGATGTAGTAAATTTTTCAAACGTGGGTATTAAAGTACCGACGTTGTATTTTCATTATAACGTCGGTATTAAAAAAACATTCGTATAATTCAAATGCCCATATAAAAAAAAATCTTAGATTTGAATAAATCAACTTACGTATTCACTATATTTTTCATGTCATCGTCAACACAGCAGTTTCGCTGTGAATTCATATAATAGGCAGTCTCCTTAGCTGGTTTCACAATTACCAACACCCAATAGAACAAAGAAAAATATTACAAGGAAAATACTTAAAATAGTTAAGGGGACTAACCCTGGATTATAAGGGACCAAGAAAAATTCATCCCTATCTGTTGTTTTCAGGCCTTCTGACAGTTGTTTTTTTGGGTAAGATAAAGATCCAGATAGGGAGCTTACTTGTCCAGGGTCGACAAGCCCAACAAAAGTTACCATATTTGCCATTTTTAAATAGTCAAATAAGTACCTAAATATATGAAATTTAATTAAATGAGATTTTAATTTAAAAGAAAGATAAATATAAAACAAAATATAGGATTTCTAGAATTACCTCATGTACACTGCAATCACTGTGGCTCCAATCTCAACCATGGAACCAAACTATAAAATGTCTTCATCCAAGAGGAAGGTATCATGATCAGTGCCAAACACTTCCTCTGGAATGTGAACTTTCACAGTTTCGTTAGTAGACCGCAACTTGGTCTGGGCAAATTGGCATAGGGCCAACAGAGGAGGTGGCATGTCTAGTTTTGAGAGATCCTGTTACAAGAAATAAATAAAGAAATATAAGTTAGTTTGTATACCAAGTAAAATAAACGACTCTAACTAAACCAAACAAACCGACGTGGTATATAATATAAACGACGGTTTCTAGAACATACTGACAGAGGAAAGGTTATAGACGACGGTAAAGACATAACCGTCGTTGTATAAATATTCTACGGTCGCTATAATATAGAAAGGTCGTCTAATTAAAATGCAGTGAATGCTTTAATGAAATAGACGACGGAAAAGAAAGACGTGGTATTTCACTCACAACAACGGTTCTTGGAAGAAACAAACGTATTTTGGTTTTCAGACGTCAGTACGTATATACCGTCGTTTGTTCGAAACATTAACATCGGATATTTAAAAGAGCGACGTCTATTTAAAATTTAAAAAGCAAAAAATGAAAATATAAGAGATTTTACCATTTCATCTTGCTGGTTTTCAGCAGTATCAGCATCAAGCTTTGGATCTTCTTCCCCAAAACTAGGGGTCTGGCATTAGTGGCTCCAGAGCAGCTTGCCTTGTCAGACATTGGATTTTTGGGGCTTTGTTCGTGAGGTTGTACATGAATTGGTGTAATTGGAGTAATTGGTGTTTTCAGCATGTTGGGATCAAAATTAGGAATTAGTTGACGGAATTGGGCCAACATAATTTCCCACTCTGCTATGACTGCTTCCAAAACATTTTCCCTTGACCTAGCCTCCATCCTCAATGTCTCTTCTTTGACTGCCTCCATAAGACTTTCCTTCAATTTGTCAGCAAATTTTACTTTTTGCTGTCTCGGAAAATTGAAGAATTGAGTTGTGGAAAAGCCAGCTCCAACTCCTTTGACTCTCCCACCATGCTCGGGGGTTCCCAAAGCCAGAGTCAAAATATCATTGCTCTCGGATACAGTCAGAGTACCCTTGGAGACTTGTTTTTGCAAATCATCCTAAAAGAGAGAGAGATGGTAAAACAGATAAATCAACCGACGTAATAACTTAGTGACAACGGGGGTTTTATAAAAAAAATAGACGTAGTATTGATTTCACACGTCGGTATTACAATACCGCCGTTGTGTAACAATTCCAACGTCGGTAAAAAAAATCGTCGTATTTTCAAAAGCTATAAACAGATAAATATAAATAAATCAAAAACCTTCACCGTCGTAGTAGTTCAATTACGACGACGGACTTTTCACAAAACTGACGTAGTACATAATTTCAAACGGCGGTAGTAACATAACGTCGTTGTATATCAATTCTAACGTCTATATGAGATAAAACCGTCGTAAATTTTAATGCAGAGGTGAAAAAATTAACAAAAATATGCATTCTTTTCCAGAAATTGTGCACCACAAATTTCAGAGAAATAAATGGAGAGAGGGAGAGTGTGTGCTTGAGTAAATCAAGGTAGTTGTAAAAGTTTAAAAAAAGGCAGCCGTCTCAGGAATATAAGCCGTCATAGTAATTCAATATGGACGTCTAATTCAAGCAAAAACCGACGTTCTATTGTATTTTAAACGGCGTTAAATAGAAACCATTGTGGTGTTCAAGTTAAAATGACGGTTTTTTAACATGCGACATATACGAAAAGAAAACACTCTGTTTTTCAAATTTAGAATAGAGTTAGTGAGACTTACGATTAATTTTGCCTTCTCTGCAACCTTTGGATCAGTGATGTTTCCCGTTTTATCTTCTCTTGCCTTCTTCCATAGCAGAGATCGATCAATTTCTTCACCGGGCATGGTTTCTTCCAATTGGTCCTCCAAACCAACATACCCTTTTCTAGACAACTTATGGTTTTACTCCAATTTTTCCTTTCTTTGTTTATGCCCATAATGCACAGCTCAAAATCTGGGGATAACCTTGAAGCTACAAAGGCATCCCATTGCGATTTCTCTATGAACTTATAAAGCTCAAGGGGTTCTTTTAACTTCTCCTTGTCATGTGCGAATGGAAGGATATACTGCCTAGTTACGTTATACTAGAAATCCTTCCATTTTTTGGCGGCAGACGACAGGACCATCTTCTTGCACCCTTCCCCAACAACAATAGCCATTTGAACAGCATCCCAAATCTGCTCCTTCAGGTCCTTGGGCATTGAGTCCATTTCTTGTCCACAAGGGGGACTCTGGTGCGTGCCAAAACACCAATGTAAGACTGCATCTCAACAGCAGCCTTGCCATGTGGTCTGCACCTTTTATTGAACTCAACCACAGGCTTAATCTTCTAAATTTTCCTTTTCACAACACGGCTCATTGTGTTGATACTGCAAGTCGATTTTGGCTCAACGACAAATGTGGCTAACCTCGGGTCTTTATTAGAGGTTGAAGAAAATCTCATCCTCTTCGTGGGTTTGCTTTGAACTGATTTGGCTTCATCTATTTGAGCCTTTGAAACTGCAACAACGTCCTTGCTAGGACCTTTTGACACTTGAGCTTCCTTGCTTTGAGATTTTGAAACCATTTTTAATTAATCTGCAAGAAAAACAATGACGGTTAATTAAAACGATCGACGTAAAATTAAATAAAAGACGTCGAAAAAAGACAACCGTAATATTGAATTTAGCACAACGGTTTCAAAACAACACCGCCGTCGTACAAAAAATACCACGACGTTATATAAAACAACCAACGTCTTACTAACATTTCTCAACAAAAATGGTATGACAATAGGACGACGGTTTTATGTCGTATTAATTGTTACACAACGTCGATTCTTAAGACTAAACACTGACGTGGATTACAAATTAACACGTCCAAAACAAAAGACAACCGTCGTCTCACTGAGAGGTGATGCAGGAAAAAGGTAGAGTTCTTTCTGGCAAGAGACGATCGTTTTATTTTGATTCCGACGTAATAATTGCCACACCATGACGGTTATTAACCACCGTCGTGTAGTTTGCATTAGGTAGGATTTTACTACCGTCGTGGTGTGTCGATTCTAACGTCGTAAACAAGACAGAACTGTCGTCTTCAGGCGTCGTGAGGTTAATGGACTAATGAATTTAATCAAACCAGTGAAAGATTTCGTCATTTTGATGGAGTCTTGTTTCCAGACTCGTTCTTTCAAAACCCACATCACATGAAAATGAAAAAATGAAAAGAGATTGAGAAAAAACCTTTGGCATCCAAAGAAAGTTTCCTTTCGACGTTAACTTTGGTGATTTACGGATGATGACGAGATTCAGATGATGATGATTACGAAGCTGCTTTTGGGAACTAAGAGGGAAACTGAGATATTTTATCGATGAGAGAGAACGTAGAACTTTAGGTCAGGTGATGAAAAAGTTTATATATTTTCCCAGAGTTCAATAACACGACGGTTTTATTAAAAACCGCCCTAGTATGTAGTTATAACGACTCAAAAATAGTAGGAACCGACGTGGTTATTAATAAAGCCAAACGACTTTTGGAATTCCGAAACCGACGTGGTTGTTCAAGTTTTACATGACAGAAGTTTACTTTTAACGACCTGATATTAAATGTTATGACGTTGCTTATTTATCTATACCGTCGTTGTATTTTTGAAGTCAACGACCATTAGCTTTAGTAAACCGACGTGGTTATTTAAATTCAACGTTACCTTGTTTTATGCATAACCAACGTTGTTAGTTTTAAAGGTCGTTGCCTTCATTTACAAAAATTTAACCACCGTTGATTATTACAATTTGACGTCGCTACGTTTAATAGAACTGATGTGGATAATGAAGATATTTTCTATAAATTTGATTTTTTCACGCGTTCTTTAACTTTCAGTTTTCAATTAGGGTTCCAACTTCTTCTTGCCCTTGGCTCAGTCTCATCAACTTCTAAAAAATTGTCTTTCTGAAAGCAAATGTGGAAACTTTATTTGATTGATTCAATAGGTGATCTATGTTTTTAGTTGCGTTTTCTGCTTTATTGATTCAATAGGGGATTTCTTTATAATTGTCTTTGGTTTGCAGAATGATTCCTCACAAGACCAAGCGTGGTGCAACCGCACTTGCCCGTTTGAAGGCATACGAGGGTGTTCCACTTCCTTATGATAAGATAAAGAGGATGGTCATTCCTGATATGAGGGTAGTTTTGTTATTTTTGTTTGGTTCTGTTTTCGTGAACTGAAAGGTTATTGTTTTTGGAAATTATCTAATTCCTATACACAAGTACTGTTTGTTGCGCAAGCTTTCATCTGATTCCTGTACTTACAAATAGTCACTAATGAATTTATCTGTGGCTGTGCAGGAGCTTGAGAACAAGCTGAGGGTGAAGGCAGAAAAGGTTGTCGAGGAGAAACTAGGTCCTCAGCTAGTATTTGCCTTTTAAATATTGCTCCTATTAAATATTGATCAGTAGATGTTTGCCTTTTAAGACGAAAATGTTGTTGAGGATTGACTTGAGAATTAAATTTTGTTTTGTGTTAAAATACTTGGTTGTTCCTTGTGATGGTTTTAAGTATTTTGGCAGTAGTTCTTTTTAATAGATATTAAGAAAGATATTACCAAAATAAATAAAAAATTAATTTTAAAAAGCAATAAAAATAATAAGTCGATAAATTAATCTCTCGCGTCATGGTACATTGATTTAACACGTCTTTTTTTGTAATATACCGACGTGGACAATAGGGGATTTCTTTGTAATTGTCTTTGGTTTGCAGAATGATTCCTCACAAGACCAAGCGTGGTGCAACCGTACTTGCCCGTTTGAAGGCATACGAGGGTGTTCCACCTCCTTATGATAAGATAAAGAGGATGGTCATTCCTGATATGAGGGTAGTTTTGTTATTTTTGTTTGGTTCTGTTTTCGTGAACTGAAAGGTTATTGTTTTTGGAAATTATCTAATTCCTGTACACAAGTACTGTTTGTTGCGCAAGCTTTCATCTGATTCTTGTACTTACAAATAGTCACTAATGAATTTATCTGTGGCTGTGCAGGAGCTTGAGAACAAGCTGAGGGTGAAGGCAGAAAAGGTTGTCGAGGAGAAACTAGGTCCTCAGCTAGTATTTGCCTTTTAAATATTGCTCCTATTAAATATTGATCAGTAGATGTTTGCCTTTTAAGACGAAAATGTTGTTGAGGATTGACTTGAGAATTAAATTTTGTTTTGTGTTAAAATACTTGGTTGTTCCTTGTGATGGTTTTAAGTATTTTGGCAGTAGTTCTTTTTAATAGATATTAAGAAAGATATTACCAAAATAAATAAAAAATTAATTTTAAAAAGCAATAAAAATAATAAGTCGATAAATTAATCTCTCGCGTCATGGTACATTGATTTAACACGTCTTTTTTTGTAATATACCGACGTGGATTCCATTATATTATACGACGCGGACTAAGAACAGTTGGTCGTGTTTAGTTAGGAGTTAACATGGCAGGTTTTTTGTTGAACTGTAGTCTTTATTTTCTACGTCGGTGGACTCATACCTGCTGTCGTTGTTTTTTGGTCAGATTTTAACTCTGAAGAAAACCTTTTTAATAAGACGATGCTTTTGTATTTGTGTGCGTCGTTTTAAAAAAATATTCAACACTACCTCCATTTTTTAGTTGTTTAAGTCACTTATCCACGACGGTTTTTTGTTACCGTCGTCTTTTTCTGGTCGTCTTTTTCGCTTTTTGTAGTAGTGATGTCTATATTTATATTGTCCATGTCGTGGTAAGCTAATTAACAACGACGCCCAGGTAAATACTAGGGTCATAGTAGATATATTAACCAGGAGGGTCATAATAGACATTACAAACTCAATTTAAAAATAAAAACCTAAAAATTCGGAAAAAAAAAAATTAAAACGTACCAAACCCGAGTCCAGTCTTCCTGTTACCCTTTTCCCTGTGCCTCCCTATTACTCTTCTAATTTATTGACACATGTCCCTATACTTAACTTTTAACTCTTTTAATAAAAATAAAACTAAAACAAAGCTAATTATTAAAGAGAAAAAAAAACAATAGCCACCACTATAACCACACCCACCCACCGGCCGACCACCCAACCTGGACAGCCAACCCACCCATCCAACCAGGCCAGCCAGCCCACCTCGCCGGCGACAACCCCTCTCCTAGCCGCTGCCAGAAGCAACCCCTCTTCTCTTCTATGTCCTGCCTCTTTATCAAGCAACACCAAACTCATAAATCTGATCTCTTTTTCTCCATGGCTAAAACCCATAATCCTTTCTCCATGTCATTTCTCTTATCTAACTGAAGATTAAAAAAAAAAAACCTAGAACAAAACCATAAGGAAAGATTTTTTTTTAAAAAAAATTTTAAAGAAGCAAAGCGGCGTGAGTTCACCTTGTGGGTCTACACTATGGTTGATTGCACAAAACATCCTACAATTTTGAAGCCCTTTAATGTTATTCTTGTTCGAGGCTTTAACAGATGAGATTGACTTTGTTGTTAGGGTTTTGAGTTTGGGGAAGAAAATGGTAAAGTAGGAAAAGAAAGAGAGAGAAAAGAGATATTGAGATAATAAGGTGTTTTTGGCGGCAAGGAGGAGAGGGGTTGCCACCGACGGGATAGGGTGGCTGACCAGGTTGGATGGGTGGGGGGTTTGGCTGAGGTTGCGTGGGTGGATGGGGCTGTAATGGCTGTTGTTTTTTGTTTTTTATTTAATAATTAGCTTTGTTTTTGTTTTATTTTTATTAAAAGAGTTAACACTGTTATGTTAGGAGCTAAGTATAGGGACATGTGTCAATAAATTAGAAGGGTAACAGGGAGGCACAGGGAAAAGGGTAACAGGAAAACTGGACTCACCAAACCCACACAGGCCACCCTAGGACATACGCTTGGAAGAGACTTGTCTGCCTTTGGGTCATCTTTGAATTTTTGTGCCACTTACAAACCCGCAATGGCTCAAATTTAGTAATGCAAATTAAGGGTTAATTTTTGGACAATTGAAGGGTATTTTTGGACAATTGGTGCCTTCTTGCTCAAACTTGCGTATGGATCTGTTCCAAAATATCATAAACCCGAAAAAACAGTAATATCCTTAATATTTTGTCGATATTATCGATATTTTTGTCCTAAATTAGCTTATCGTGTGGAATAATCCTTGTTGACGACTCGATCACCATCAAATACAAGAAGTTGCCTTGAAGATTCCTTTTCTTACCCTTTAATTTACTTCATCACATTCACATCGTATAAATAATAACATACCATTTACATTGGAAACCACCCATCAGTGTGAGTGTGAAGGAAAGCGTCTCAGTGATGATATAGCCTTCTTCTCCTCCAACTCCTTCTTCTTCTTCTCCATTCACATCTCCATCAGTGTGAGTGGGAAGGAAATCGTGTCAGTGATGAGTGAGCCTTCTCCTCCTGTGTCTCTTTCTCTTTCTTCTCCTTCTTCTTCTTCTTTCACTCAATCAGGGCCATACGATGTGTTTTTGAGTTTTAGAGGTGAGGATACACGCATAACTTTTACAGACCACTTATACACTGCTTTGGACCGTCAGGGTATTCGCACCTTCATTGATGATGACCTTCCAGGAGGAGAAGAAATATCACCTCAACTTCTCAAAACCATTGAAGACTCAAAGATTTCTGTCATCGTTTTCTCTGAAAACTATGCATCTTCAAGCTGGTGCGTGGGCGAACTTGTTAAGATCCTTGAATGTAAAAAATCAAAGGGACAAATGGTTAGGCCAATTTTCTACAAGGTGGATCCCTCAGATGTACGACACCAAAGAAGTAGTTTTGGCCACGCATTTGCCCACCATGAACTCAAATTCAAGGATGACATGGAGAAAGTGCTCAAATGGAGAAGAGCTCTTACAGAGGCAGCAAATTTGTCTGGGTCGCATTTAAAGGAGGACGAGTACGTATATAATTTCTAACCTTACATAATTGCATTTTTGAGGTGCCAATTAAACTTTAAATTTATAATTAATTATACAATTAATACTAGAATCTCACACCAATACTTTTTTTAAACATTTTTCATTAGCAGTATTCTTCGTCCGCATTAAAAAATAAATCGAGTATTCTTTGCCCCAATATTCTTTGGCGTGCATAGAGATATTTAGTAATATACCCATTCTTAGCACAAAAATTATAAATAAAACCTACACCATTTAATTTCTATAAGCAAACTTAGAAAAAACCTTAAAAATAACAACTGGCTCTATTTAATTTAATTTTGATTATTAAATTACTTTAATGCCCTATTGAGTGTTTTGGGTTTTTATAAGCTTTTGGGGTTGAGTTTGTTTTAAGAAATCGATAGTAGTTTTGTAATTTATAAGAAGTTAAAAGCCTATTTGTTATGTTGTAAATGAACTTTGGGTGTGTTTCTAAAGTCTATTTCATATAGGGTATTTTTATAATTTGGGCCCCTATATTGGGTATAATAGTGAATCTCCCATAAAATAATGCGAAAGTTATTAATAATTTTATAAATGAAATATAGAAAATTCATACAAACCTCCTCTAAACCATAGCATACAATGAAATCCTAAACTTTATTAGAAAATAACAGGCGGAAATATATATTATCTCCAAGAAAAATCAGCCTTACAAAAAGAAAGAATAGCTTATTAAAAAAATAAAAAGATGTATCTACAAACAAAGTGAATCCAGCGAAGGCAGTAAAGTAGATCCATGGAAACCAGAGAAAGAAAATAAAATCGCGGAGAGAAAGAAGGAGAAAACCCAGAAAAATACAAACAAAAATCACAGAGAAAAAGAAGGAGAAAACCAGAAAAATAAAATAAAATAGCAGATTATCCGATCCGGACAAATTTCAAACAGAAACTAAAAAAAATGGATACATCGGAGACTTAGTAACATTGAGTGACCACCGAACCGTGCCATCGGAGAAATGAGAGAGGGGATAGGAAATGGTGAGAACAAACGGAGAAAAAGAGGAGAAATGAAAGAGAAGATAGGAAACGGTGAGAAAAAGAAAATACATATGTCAGGGAGAGAGAGAGAGAAGAAGAAGAAGATGAGGTCTGAGAGAAGGAAATCGGAAGAAGATGAGGTTGAAATCAAATCAATGACAAGTTGACAACTTTCTAGGTTTTTCCCTTTCTTGTAATATTTTCACACACCTTCCTAGGAAAATCACAAAGAAAGTTTGCTTTAATAAAAAAAAAAAAAAAATCTTCTAGCAACTTATCTCTATGTTTACATAAGGTTTTCTATATAAATATAAATTATATATGAATCAACTTTGAATCTCTATCATATGTTTTTAAAATGGTAGGTATGAAGCTAAATTTATCGGTAAAGTCGTCGAAGAGATTTCAGTTCAACTGATCAATAAGACATATTTTGGTGGCCCAGCCTACAAAGTTGGATTAGAGTCACGTGTAACAGATGTCAACGAGCTTTTAGGTATTGATGGAAATGGTCGTTGCATGGTTGGCATATGGGGTATTCCTGGAATAGGCAAGACGACAATTGCTAAAGCGGTTTATAATTCAATTGCACGCAAGTTTGAAGGTATTTGTTTTCTGGCAGATGTTAGAGGAAAGTCATCAGTGTATGGACTAATCGAACTACAAAAGAATCTTCTTTGTCAGGTCCTAGGAGACAAAAACTTCAACTTGATTACTCTCGATCAAGGAATAAATGTTATCAAGCAACGACTGAGACATAAGAGGATTCTCTTAACTCTTGATGATGTGAATCAGTTGGACCAGTTAAACAATTTAGCAGGAGACGTTGATTGGTTTGGTGAGGGCAGTAGAGTTATTGTAACGACAACACAGCAGTGATTTTTACCCGGCCAAGATGGAAAACTTTTGCAAAATCAGGTTCCTCTCTCTCTCTCTCTCTCTCTCTCTCTCTCTCTCTCTCTCAATGCCTGTTAATAGTGGTTAAGTTTGATGCTTAATCCTAACAAAAGCTACCCGGATTATTTTAAGAAGGATTAGAACTTATTCAAATAAAAATTTAGATATTTTCTCTTAAAGTACTGTTCTATAATTGTATAATTAAAACAAATAAGGATCTTAGCGCTATGACTAATTGACTATAGTCTATACAGTATATCAATTACATAAATATTCTACCAAAATTCATATTGAATCATCAATTAATTTTACGAAAATCAATATCACTTAATCTAATTGAAATGCATATCAAAGTATCAATTCAATAAACAAATCAAAATGCATACTTCAAGTTGTGCATTGCGCAACCTCTTCAAGTTTGCTAATGATTAAACGAATATATAGAGAGCCAAATCAGAAAAAAAAAATAAAATTAAAACATATTATAAAAAAGAAAAGAACAGAAAAACTGAAGATTAAAAAAAAACACCTAGAACAAAACCATAAGGAAAGATTTTTTTTTTAAAAAAATTTTAAAGAAGCAAAGCAGCTTGAGTTCACCTTGTGGGTCTACAGCAAACAAAGAGAAATCTTCTAGTTTCAAAAAAAGTAATTCCACTCAAGGGGATTAAATCCTCTTCGCCGCTGAACTTGGAATGCTATTGTATTCGTATATGGATTAATTTGATTACAGGTTTTGTGGCGTGGCGTGGAGTAAAGACTAAGGCTTTTTGGCAAGGTTTTTAAATAATAAAAAATTAAGTGCGCTGCGCCTGTGAAGCACAACAGCGCAGCAGCCAAATATAAGACATTGCTGAGGCATTCTCTCAAACAAGTGGTGGGCACCTTCAACATAGATCAAAGGGGCAAACCCAGCCACCACAATGGCTTTTTCAGGTAAGAGCAGGTGCAACCGCACCTTTTTACGCCTCTGTAGATCCGCCACTGCTCTTGGAGCAATGGCTATATGTTTGTGCCATATTTGGAAAATGGACCAAATTTGGTTTATTGTTTATATAAAGTTGCATGTAGCTCAGGTATGAGCTTGATAATGGACGCCAAAACCAAGAGGAATCGTCTTCAGACTAGATCTTTGGCTGCGAAAGGACGACAAATCAAAGGAATACCCCTTGAAACCAGTGGTTCCATCTGAGATATCCCTTCTCCTACCTATGAATCGGCTCACGGGGGCAAATCGGCAGCTGACTTTGGGCAACACTCAAGTGTTGTCCTCCAGCCTTCACCGTCAGCTGTAAGTAAAGATCTTCTGCCTATAAATATAGAGGTTCAACAACAGCAACGTCTTGTAAACACTTGAACAAAACTTCAAGATTTCCAAATAGTCAACTTCCTACCCAGATAACCAGTTGACAACTCCTGCGTTTACTTTTATTGCTCTGTCATCTCCATGGTATGATTATTGTTTAAACAATCAGTTTAGTTTCTTCTAAATAGCAAAAACCTGTGTAGATTGGATAGAAAAATCTCCAATCTCTTTTATATTGTAATTTGTTTTTTAAAAGCAGCTAAATGGAGAAATCTTTGGCCTTCGTTTCAACTTGTTATCATACTGGAGCTGGATAAAGAAATCTCCAACATCTGGAACCTTTTTCTTCCTGAAGTTTACTTTAGTTGCACTTTAAATACTTGTCATTTACCTGCTTCTGTTCACCCGTTTAGATTTATTTCCTGTGATGGTAGGGCAAAGTTCCCCATTGCCTTGAGAACCACTGACTGGTCAACAAGTCAACTTTCTTTAGTGTGGGAGCGTGCCACTGCTAGTGATAAAAAATCCTAACAGACTTCTGAAATAGATAACTTGCGCCCCAAGTTACTGATTTCTGAACAAGCGATTGTGAATTTGGGTGAGGAATATCTCCCAAGTAAGTTCTTTTCTTGCCTCAGACTGGTGAGGACTTTTACAATTTTTCACAGTATAAAACTGGCAGTTCTAGCCAGAATAAATGATAAAAGAGTGATCTATTTTCAGGCAGAGCTCTCCTTTACAAAGTTCAAAAGGGAAATACAACTACAAAAAGACAAAAAGAAGGCTGTGCTTCAATTTCTGTCTGAGTAGATGCTCCTGATCCGGGCTGGATTGAGTATGCCTGTGCTGGACTGGACTTTTAACAACTTCAACTGCTAGGCTTCAGCTGCAAATCGATACCAAAGCTTAAGTTTGGCAGAGCTTTAATCTATTTCAAGCCCTGGAAGGCTTTTAAACGGGCAGAGCTGGGATTTCTTCAATCTGAAAGGGGCAGAAGTGGCTGGACTCCAGCTGGAACTGTGCTGTGGTACCTGCTCTGCTTAGTCAGGGCACTCCATAAATTTGTTGAGGTTTTCGTATTTGTGAAAAACCCAAACTCTGCTTGCTTTGGCTTTGCTGAACCAAATTTGTAACGAGAAAAATCTCGTTTTGAATGACTTTCTTCTAAGTCTGAAAATTGGCAGTTTTGACTTGTAGCTAGCTTTTCTTGTAGCTTAGCTAGCTTTTGGTTGTTTCAATTTGCTAGAAGGCTCTTTGGGATCAAGTGATCATTTTGAGTGTTTGTCTTTTGACTGATTTTTTGGTTGTTTGATTGTGTCTGCTTTGTTCACTCTCTCTTGTATTTATAAGAAATGCTTTTGGGAGCGGGAGATTTGATTCTTTTAAACAAAGGGCGGCAAACAATCTCAAAAGATCTTTAGTTTTAAAAAGAAAAAGAAACGGAGTTCTATCCATTTTCTGGCAGTTAGGCCCTCAATGATCATTTCCTGAGACAGTCACTTCCCTGTATTTTGATGAGGCGCCGTACCTCCTTTTTCCAATCTAGCTGCTTTTCAAACCATGATGGTGAGTGTGATTTTCCATTTCAACAACTCCTTGTTTCCTGCTTATCTTTCTTTTAGAAAACACAGTCTGCGTATCTTTTGAGAATAGTGCCTGCCGAATTCTCCTATATATATATATAAAAGGATTTTGATCTTCCTCTGTCCGTAAAAGACTGGGGAAATTTTCTGCAGGAGCGTATTCATGAATTCCTGTAACTTCTCTCTGTGACTTTAGTTGCAATTTTTGACTTTTCAAAGTCAGGTAAATCACGTGAGTATGTTTCTCCTCTGGGCTTCTCTTTTCCATCTTTAACTTAGAACCTGCCAAGCCCATTTTTGGTTTCAAGCTCAATTTGGGTTTCTTTCGAGGCCCAGGTCTCTTCTCGGTTTTGACTGCTTCCAGGGCTCCAATGTTTGGGCCGAGTGTATCGCTTTGGCCCGTTTATTTGTTAATGGGCTGGGTGCGTCGATGGGCTGAGGGCGTCAATTTTAGGTCCAAACAGGTGGCCTGTTGAAAAAATGATGTGGGCTTTTGACTTTGGACTGGGCGCACCAATTTCAGGCCCAAACAATGCCCCCATTAAGTCTGAATCGTTTTTTAAACGGTTCCAGACTTAATGATTTCGGCTATTAATTTGTGCGCGCCAGTTTAAATTGACCCACGTCTATCACGTCTACCTACCACGAACTAGACTTCGTGGGAAATTGGTTAGTTACTAGCTAGTTACTAGCTTGTCTCTTCAGGTGGCGTCTTGTCTTCTCCTTCCCATGATTACGAGCTCTTTTTAAAGGAATTCAAAACTTCAGTTCCTGTTCAACTCAAACCCCAACTTCCTCAGACCTTGGTTTTCTCAGACTTCACCAGAATCCTTCCCTTTTTTGCTTAATCAATCCTTAGTCCTCTCTTTGTTTCTAGATTGAAAACCCAGAAAAAATGTCTTCTCCAAAAACTCGTGCCTAAAGCTCTTCCTCCTCAGTTCCTCCAGATTATATTACTGGGACTCGACTCGATGCTCATGCTATGGAGGTTCGAAGCAGGTTCCACCCTCTTGTCCAGAAAAAGTTAGATGAGAACGTTCTTCATTTATTCAAGAGTACTCTGACTCTGGGACCTCGCTGGTTTGGTTCTATCCCAGCTGAGATAGCGGAGCTAATAAAAAAGGATGCTGAAGCACCTCTGTGTTTCCAAGGGACTTCTGCCCTGGCCTCTCATTCTTGGGTCAACAAAAATTTGAGCCGTTCGTTTCCATCCAGTGAGGTGAGGAATAGTCCTGTGAAGTGGGCAGATTGGATTGATAAGCTTCTTCCAAAATTCGGAGCTCACTAGAGGAGGGCAGGGATCTACGACGCAATCCTGCTGTCTAAGCAGTCTATTAACCGGGACGAGAACCTGCTTGCTGCTGCCTTGTGTTTCTGTAATTCTGCCAGTAACACATTTGATTTCCGTGTGGGTCCAATGGCACCAACCCTGCTGGACATGGCTCAAATTTTTGGGTTCAGACCTCATGGAAGACCTGTTGATGCCGTCGGTGATTATCATCGGAGGAAGAATCAGGAGAAATTGGCCAAGCCTTTCACTATCTCTCCTGCTACCATCAACCAGAACTGCTCATTCTCCAACTATTTGAGGAAATTCAGTGTGGAGAAAGACAAGGATCAGCAACACATGCTATTCCTTTTGTACTGGTTCAACAGGTTTGTACTTCCAAACCGCTCTTCCGCTGTTTTGCTGGAATACAGGCACTTGGCAGAAGCCCTGCACAGTCATACTGACGTCGGACTTGGGTCTACAGTTCTGGCCCATCTTTTCAAGAATCTGCATACGGCCACTATGGAGAACCCCCTGAATTTATCTGCTCCTGGCTTATTCTGGATGATCCAGATCTGGTTGCAAGTATACTTTCCAGAATTCCGGTTTCCTGACATAGTTCTGCCTGAAAACCAAGTTCTGGCTCTTCCCTTGATGTCGGCAGAAGTGCCCAAGCACTCCATTGAAGAGTACCTGATGTGGTTCAGGCATTGCACTAAACGATCTGCAGCTCAGTGGCAGGTAGTGGTCAGAAGAGCATATCCTTGGTTCCAGCCTGGATACCGGCTCTTTGAAAAGGAACCAGAAGATGAAGCTGCCAGGA